ATGGTGGCAATAGTATGGGATCGTTGGATCTTGGCCGACGCGTGCAAAGCAGATGCCACACTCCATGCTTGGGTCCTACATGGCTGCGAGCCTAATGGAGTGTGATGACAATAATGTCAGTAACATCTGGTAAATGGATGGAGGAAGGATGAGCAGGGAGGGAGGGGTGAGACGGAGGAGGGGAGGGTTGGGTGGGATGGGTTGAGCTCTTCGCTAGAGACGGTGACGGCCCTATCAAGCTCTCGGTGCAACATGGGATCAAGCTTGGTGGTTGCAATGGCGTTAAAAAAGAATGTGTCGTCCACTACGTGTTTGCGCGCACGTGTGCACCACATGAATTGCGTCACCTACGTTGCCTTGCTTACCATAGCGTGCACCGCATATAATATGTTGCACCACCTAGCCTACACCACATAGGTTGCACCAGACAGGTTGCACCAATTCGATGTCACCACGGCCTTCACCACATACCATAGATCGCACCACATGGTTTGCACATCATAGGTTGCACTGCAGAGCTGGCACAACATAGATTGCAACACCTAGTAGGCTAGACACAATGTTTAGGGTCCACGCTGGCTATCCCCTTTTGACACAGTGGAGCATGTGTTCGGCGATTCGCTAGGGCCTGAACGATGTAAATCCAAACCGAAGTTGAGAGATCTACCGAAATCTGTTCGGCCACACACACACAACGCGCGTGTGACACATGGGCACGCATATGTTTAATCACAACTTCGGCAGTTCAGCTGGAGACTACTCGTCCGATCTGAGAACGCCGACATGAAGGATCATAGCGTTCACTGCAGCCCAAGTTGCAAGGATGCCATCACCCCATCCTACGTGCAGCTCGCCGTGCGTACTCGGGGCATCGTGAGCGTCTTGGGGCTCAAGGGGGGACTCGTTGACGCAGACCGCCCGCTTCTACGCCAGGACTGACACGGTGCATGGGCCATCGATTGGCTCCACTGGTCCAGAACATGTTCTTTAATGCGCGCTTGCGGGACGAAGCTCCTCCGGCAGACTGTCCACGTCGAATCCGGATGCGCCCTTGATCTCGGGCATCTCGCCCGCAGCCGCCGCGTCTGCGACGGCAGGGCCTTCCAGGACCGAGGGCAGCTACGAGCCCGTCTGCACTCACCCGCCTGCGAGCGACGTGGGCAGTATCTGCGGACCCGCGGTCGACGAGCCGGGTCTGGGCCTGCCGGCGAGCGGCCGCTTCTTGACAGTCGATGCGTCGTCACTTTCACGAGCCGACGGCCGCTTTGCAGCAGCATTCCCCGTCGCCTTCGCCTTGGATTTGGGTTCCCGCACGGTGAACGCCATTGACCTCTTCATCGCAGAGCCGCCGCCCGAAATGTACAGCCTTTTGTTTGGAATGGATGTGCTCCGCTTCTGACCGAGTGGTGCGCCCCACATCGCAACAACGAAGACGGTGTCGCCCTCGGAGTGCACTGCCGCACAGCATTCAGTCCTATTGGTCAGAAGCATGGCGGCCTTCGCTGCTGCGGCTTCCACCTCCAGCTGCTTGAATCTGCCCACGGGCGATCGTCAACGTTCATGTCGTCTTGGATACGGGACGCAGGCAAGGGATGCGTGTGCCTGGGATACCCTAGCGGCGTAGACTGCGTCTCCACGTCTTGCATGTCGGCGTACATGTTTCGAAGCCAGTCAGGGTTGGTAGTGGTTGCGTTCTGGTCGACCTTGTGGAAAGTTTCGTACTTCTCGCGAACGTGAGAGAGCATCACCTTGTATCTGTATTATATCATGGTAACCGCGTGGGCCGCATCTTCGCAGTTCGCCGCCTGCACGTATGCTTCCAACGGATCCTTGCAGCTATCCCTCACCGACAGGCGCCGAATGGTCTCTTCCATGTCCCGCTGGAAGATGTGGCCTCCTCGATGGCCGAACTTCATGTGCTCTGCAAGCTCCAGTGCGTAGCTTTTCATCTCGTCGAGGTCGAGACCCTTCTTCATGTCAAGCGACGTGTAGGTCCAGCCGCCATGTCGCAAGTGGTGTTCGAAAGACGGCTCCAGTTTCTCGAACAGGGAGTCCGAGGCGTTGCTTGGTTGCCACGCTCTCGCGCCGACCATTTGCAACTCAGCTTCAAACTTGCCGAATGCTGTCCCGAGCCCAAGATGGTTGAGGTCAGATGGTGGCGGCGAGATGGCCCAGATATGGGCAACACATGAGGCGACAATATTTTCGAAAATAATGTCGCCAGTCTTGGACGATGTTCTGGCCCACTGTGTCAATCCGCGCACGCACGTACAGCCATCGGAAATGATAGACGGCACAGCAGGGCCCACGCTGGCTAACATGTTGTTCGATACTTCCGTGCCAGCGCAACGCCCCACAGTGGCTTCGCTGGAAACGCAAGCAGAGAAATCTGCCGTTTCGTCGAGGGATATTTTTTGGCGCATGAGTCCATGATTCTCGCATGTACAAATGCGCCGAGACTTTGCGGGCACAGTCGCCAACCCCGCTCGGGACCCCCTGGCGCAGGCGAATACTTTTCGCCTGCGTCTTCCCGAAGTGACATATCACGACCATAAGTCTGACGCGTGCCATGGCCCACCCATGACAGACCCTTGATCAACATTTCGGGGTAGCCACTTTGGAAGTAGAAATCGGCCCCCCAAGAGATGGGAAGGTTATTTGGTTCAGGGATTTTGGACCCTGCTACTTATCCTCCCGACGCGGCGACGACAGGAGTCATTGGGTAAGCAATGGCGGCTTGTACCCACAGCGAATATTGACCATTTCCGTGGCAACGTGAGCAAGACCAGAAACCTCAGAGAGAGAGAGAGAGCCGATTACGCACACAGGCACACACACACGCATTCAATCTCTGTATACATATAACGGCGCACCGGGTCCGGGGGCCCGGGGCCGGGACCTCGACCACAAATGTGGGCTCCGGGGGGCCCGGAGGCTCGTCGGGGCTTGCCGGAGGCCTCCCCGGTCAGACAAGACGGCCCCAGGAGCGCCCAAGACGGCCCAAGAAACTTCCAAGAGGCCTCCAAGAGGGCTCCGAGATGCTGAAGATGGCCTCCAGACGTCCAAGGACGCCCCCAAGAGGCCCCAAGAAGCCTCCAACATGCGTCCCAAGAGGGCCCCTAGACGCAAAAATTGGCCCATTCCCTTCGTAAAACGTACATTTTAACAAAGTTGTCTTTTGGGCTTTCCGACGTTACAGGACGGCCCAAGAGGCGCCCAAGACCGCCCCAAGACGGCCCAAGAAGCTTCCAAGAGGGCCCCAGGACAGCCCAAGAGGGCCCCAAGACGGCCCAAGAGGCGCCCAAGATGGCCCAAGAGGGCCCCAAGACGGGCCCAAGAGGGGGCCCAGAGGGGGACCACGAACCGCAAGCTCGAGCCTTCCGCCCCAAGAGGCCGCCAGGAGGCCCCCAGGAGGCCCCCAGGAGGCCCCTCAAGAGGCCCCAGGAGACCCCAGACGTCCAAGGACGCCCCCACGACGCTTCGCGTCACCAATTTCTTCTCACAACGATTCCTGGGTCTGTGACTCGACAGAACCTAAGCGCGCGCGAAGCGCGCGCGTGGTTCTAGTATACATATATGTGTTATTATTTATTTCTCTCTTTCTCTCTCTCTCTCTCTTTCTCTCGCTCTCTTTCTCTCTCTCTCTCTCTCTCTCTCCGTCTCTCTCCGCCTCTCTCTGTCTCTGTCACCCTCTCTCTATCTCACTCTTGCATCCCGAACCCCCCCTGAGAGGTCATTAAGGAAGTGCCCACTTTGACTGACAGCGGTCCTTTCGAGCGGGGGTCTCTCAGCCGCTCGAAGTTTCAGAGAGCTGGACCTCAGAGAGCCGCCCTCTCTAGCTACGGTGGCCCAGCGGTTCACCAAGCACCGACCGCACCCGTTGCAGCAGGTCTCCCACGTGCCCTGTCGAGAGCCGCCCCAGGCTGTGCGCAGCCGGCCGTTGGCACGCAGATGCCCCATATGGTGGTGCTGTGTGGTTGGCGCTAATGTGGCCCTCTGGGTTTGTGCAATCTGGGACTTGAGCCTGGCCTGGTACAGCCCAGAGTGCTTCACGCTCCAAGGGCGCCCCGGCCGTCCGCGGCCTTCCGCATCCTTTCTTCCCGCCGTTCTTCCGCCTCGGCGCCTTACAGTGGAGGCCCATGCCAAGAAACACCCTGCTTGCCTCCAGGGTGCCCTGGGTGTCTTGGGTTTCGATGGTTTTGCTGTGGAGAGCGCGACGTTCCCACACCAGAGATCAATGGACGCCCTGGGGTCTCGTGGTTGGGTTTCTTGGGGAAGGCTTCTTGTGGTCTCAACAGCAGCCCTGCTGTAGCCGTGGCTGTCGTTGCCCCGTGTTGGGTGCCCGGTGGTTCTTGCCCGTCTCGCGGTGCTTGCACTCCAGGGGGTGCTTGCGGTCAGGAGTTTTGGCTCAGCATGTCGCGCCGCCAGCTCTGGTCCACCACGCTTCGGCCCGAGACACGCGAACCACGTCCCAGTCCCCAGGCGTCGACGTCCCGAGCCTTTCCGAGCCTCCTGCCCCGCGGAGCAGAGCGACACGCTATCCACTCGCAAGACATAGCGGATATCCGGGGCCGCGCCGCCGCCGCGACACGCTGAACCGAACTCCCGACCGTAGCTCTTTTTAGTCAGGTTCTAAGGAACTTGCCCTGTTGGGCGCAGTCGGCCGTTGGCGAGGATTGGAACTAGCAGAAGGGTGAAGTAAGTACCAGGGGCTCGGGGAACTGCAATCCCAGTTACAAGGGGGCAACACGACCCCCACCCGTGATGCAGGGGGACAGGGATGGAAGGGGGACCACGGATTGCGCGGTGGAGCAGTGAAAATGGTAGCCCATTGCAGCATGCGTCAGCTACATAGATGCTCAGCACTGTTGGGCATGTAATGCCAACACATATTGCCATTATGCCACTCTGCCCCCACCAGGTGGAGATCCCAGACCCCAGCTACACAGGCAGCCTGTTGTTCGGCAGCTCGCTTCCGATGCACTGTGACGCCGGCTACTCCCTGGACGGGCACCCCAGCGGCCTTACGTCGTTCACGGAAACGTGCCAAGACGACGGGACTTTCAGCGCCGATATCGAGTGCATTGCCATTGATTGGTGTGAGACCGACCAGTGCGGCCAATTCGGCGAGTGCGTGAACGGCCAGCTCTCCTACACCTGCAGCTGTCACGAGGGCTACGAGTCGGTCCCTGTCGCGGACGGCTCGCACTCCACCTGCGCGGAGATCGACGAGTGCGACACCATGGCCGGCCATACGGCGTGCGATGCGGGCCAAAATCTTGGGAGCTGCGTTGACGGGCACTTGGGCTACTCGTGCATGTGTGGACGAGGCGCCAAGAACATCTCGGGTGCCGACGGCAGGCCGGGGTGCGCGGCGATGTCCTGCGAGACCGTGCCGGCCAGGATGTTCCAGTCGTGTGCCATGCAGGGCATCAAGATCTCGTACGCGCAGTCCACGCAGTACGCGTGCGACCCTGGCTACTCGCTGGACGCCCAGCCCTTGGGACCGAGCTCGTACACCGTCTCGTGCAATCTCACCGCCGACGAGGACGGGGCTTCTTAATCTGTAGTAGTAGTAGTAGTAGTAGTAGTAGGTAGGTAGGTAGGTAGGTAGGTAGGTAGGTAGGTAGGTAGGTAGGTAGGTAGGTCGGTCGGTCGGTCGGTCGGTCGGTCGGTCGGTCGGTCGGTCGGTCGGTCGGTCGGTCGGTCGGTCGGTCGGTCGGTCGGTCGGTCGGTCGGTCGGTCGGTCGGTCGGTCGGTCGGTGGTAGGTAGGTAGGTAGGTAGGTAGGTAGGTAGGTAGGTAGGTAGTAGTAGTAGTAGTTTTAGTAGTAGTTTTAGTAGTAGTAGTAGTAGTAGTAGTAGTAGTAGTAGTAGTAGTAGTAGTAGTAGTAGTAGTAGTAGTAGTAGTAGTAGTAGTAGTAGTAGTAGTAGTAGTAGTAGTACATCAAATGGCTGTTATTTCGCTCCGCACGGGCTCCAGAAACAAGGGCCGCTAGATTTACGTCGGGCGTATCCCCTACAGGAGGAATGAAACATAGTATGTGGACGATGTTTGGATTATTTTTGATATGTTCGGATCTTTTTGGCTACTTTCAATTTTTCCTCCAAAATCCGCCTGTAGGGTGACATGCCCGACCTAACGATAGATACTCTGAAAATCTTGAAACGTATCCAGAGCCAATTCGATCCTGACACCGTTATTTTCCTAGGTGCTCGGGGGAACTTTTGAAGCTCTCTTGGGGCCCTTCTGGGCACCGCTGGGCGCTCTTGTGGACCAGGGGACAAGTTGGCAAATAGCTGTTCTCAGCAAGTTTGGCATCTCTGGGGCATCCTTGTGAGGCTCCGCTGCCACCGCGAGCCATGTTGGGCCCGAGTGGAGGTCCTTCGGAGGCGTGTACCAGATTCGACCGAGTTGGGCCATCTTTCACCGCTCTGGTGGTCACATTGAACTGTCTGGGGCCATCTTGGAGCCACCTCGGGCCATCGTCAGGGGAACAAGCAATGACAAACATAACAACTCGGAGGTCCGCCGCGTAGACTTCTCGGATCGGCGCCGGGGCCCCCTGGCGGCGCCTCCGGCGCCACCGGCGCCGCCCCTGGCGCGCTCCTCGCGCCAGGGGGGGTCGAGCGCGGAGCCGAGAAGTCCGCGCGGACCTCCGAGCTCTTTCTGTTTTTGTCATTGCCTTGGCATCGCTCGGACGTGTGTACTTTTCCTTCGGAGAGGACCATCGAGGAGCATCCTGGATCATTTGGCGAAACAACCACGCACGAAACCGAAAAAAAACAGGAAATGAAGGTCCGAGCGATGGCCAACTGCTCGTGCCCCCCCATCCTGGCCACCGCTGCCCCCCCCATCGTCCGGAACTCCGGGGGAGGGCGGACTGCCCGGCAACGCGGCGGGCCGGCCGCCCCTCCCGCCACCCCGAGGCACGGGCGCACCGGCAGTGGGGCGGGTCCCGCCGTCCTTTTCGGGCGGGTCTCCCCAACGGCTCCTGTGCGGGCGCCGGCACCCCCGCTTCCGCCCAAGGGCCGCCCAGAGGCCCCAGAGCGCCGCGGGAGGGCCCGAAGGAGCACCGCAGGGGGCCCGAGGCGGCCACCAGATGGCCCCAGAGGGCCTCGAGGCCACCTGCACGAGAGGCCCAAGACGGCATCGAGCCCTCCGAAGGCGGCCCCACGAGGCCCCCTGTCCCATCCAAGTCGCAACTTGGCCGCCAGGGCTTATCTGTGTATCTTATATGGCACAAGACGGGCCCAGCGGCTATACGAGGCCGCCTGAAAGGCCTAAGGACTAGCTTGAGGGTCGGTTTGGGCTTCGATCTGTCTCGATGCTGGTCGACTTCAGATGCCATGCTGAGGTCACGTCGGGCCCAGAAATCCTCAGCAAATCCACCCCGCTGGGCCTCGAAATCGAAAACATTACAATCGGCAACCACATGGGCACACGTATTTGCGCGAGCGACGTTGCGTCAAGAAGTGCGACGAGGCGCAAACCATTTTCGTCACGTGGCTGGGCAGGATCGGGAAGTGTTGCGACGCAGGGAGCATGCGTCCCCTCGCCGACTCGAGGGGAGGTGGCGGGACGAGGAGCGCCAGGTAACCCGCGCTTCGGGAGCGACGCTGACGACGACGACGACGCTGCCGACGCCGACGCCGACACCGACGCCGACGACGACGACGACGGCGACGACGCCGGCGCCGACGACGACGACGACGCCGACGATATCGGTACTGCTACCCTTCTCTCGTCACCACGGCTGAAGTCGTCTCGAAATCCTGGTCACAGCGCGCCTCAGGAGAGGTCCGTGGGAATACCTTTTTCCAGTATCCCTGGGGAGGGCGGCAAACACCACAAGTCGCCTCCTCGCCACAGTCAACCCGCACAGCGAGAATGAGCAGCTGTCCGAGGTGACCCTTGCATCCTTCCCCTTCGGCCCATCTTCGGACGCTCTCGCGGGCCGCGCCCCGCTCGCAAAGTGTCGGCATGGCCCTCCGAGGCCCTTGCATCCTTCTCGTCCTCCTGACACGAGTTGGCTGCACCGGAATTCGGGCCCCGCGGGCCCGACCGACATCCAATGATACCGAAAACCACCACCGAACGTCCCTGGCCGCGGACGATCGGGTAGAGGCTTCCGGGGAGGTCCTGGGAGGCCTCCAGGGGCCCCAGGAAGGGCCGAGAGCGTCCAGGCATTTTGAGATTCGAGCCGCGGCCTTCGATCCACGATGTTCTCGGCCCTCCTCCTCCTCCTCCTCCTCCTCCTCCTCCTGTTCCTCCTCCTCCTCCTCTTCCTCCTCCTCCTTTCGTAGCCATTTTGAATGGCTAAAGCCACTTACATGTTAGGTCGCAGCCCCGCACGCGCTGCTGCACGCCCAAAGCATGTCTGATGGTTGCGATGTCTGCCGCTGTTTCTGAATGTCACTTCCAGCATGGTGCACCGCCGCAGTGTGGCTAAGCTTGCCGACCGTCGCGCCCGTGCATCGAGCGCAGGTTTCTTCAATGTGTTCCTTTGGGAGCTCGCCCTGCCGCTGTCCCTCAGCAAGTGGTGCCACATGCACGTCGCGTTCTTCGCGGGCTCACCCTTCACCATGAGCTTCAACAACTTTCAGGTCAGCGCTCGCACTCGCTGCGTCCACACCGCCAAGGAGCTGCTCAGCGACTCGGAATTCAAGGAGTACCTCCGCGAGAACGCGAGCTACGGCAAGGCCAAGCACCGCTTACCCATGCAAGCTGATCCTGCGGTTGCTGACGCTCCAGCCGCGCGCACGTTGCAGCTGGCCGATCTGCTGCCGCCGCCTGGCACACTTCGGGGCTGTCTTCCGCACCTATCACACGCTCTACTACGACCCGCCGCTCATCCACTGCATGATCGGCCGCCGATCGTCTCCCTGTGTGTCTGCATGGGCGGCGACCTGCACCGCGTCGCCAACTTCATCCAACGGCTACCGGGCCCAGAGGAAGCTCGAGGAAGCGTCCCTCATCCTGTACGGCATGGTGCCCTTTTCCGCCGCCTGGTCAAGATGTCTGCGTGTTTGAAGATCGTGCTCTTACTGTATGGCATGGTGTTGGGCCCCCTCCGCCGCCCGGTCAATCGGACCGAGAACGTGCTGCTGCGGGTGGCCCCCATGAACTGCATGTCCAATCCGCTCGCGCTTCCGAAGTGCGTGCTGTCGTCTGTGTACCCGACGGCGGTGACCGTTGTCCTGCTGGTGTTTACGCTCTACCGCATGCTCCTGCTACTGCCGACGACGGTGGCCGCTACCAACTCCAACTTCCTGTCGCTTCGCGTCGGCATGCTCCTGCCGCTGCCGTTGGTGGCAAGCGAGCTCTGCACGAAGATGCTGCCGCTTGTGAAGCCCTCGCTTGTGGCGCTCGCCTGCACGAAGATGGACCACTCGCTGAGGCTGCACGCTTCCTGGACCTCCTGGCGCGCACGCTGGGGATCACTGCGCGGCTCCACGTCCGAGCAGGCCTGCTTGTTCATGCGCCGCAACATCCTCGCGGACCAGATCGCCGCTCAAGCTGCTCGCGACGATGACCCTCGCTCTGACGACGACAGCGAGGCCAGCCATCACGACGACGCCCTGCATGATAGCGCTGTTCCTGGTGCGCCGTATCTTCGACGCTCGGACCTCCTACAACTACGATATTGCAGCTCGTCCCTCGATGGCCTGGCCGACGAGTTGATATGCTCCGCTGCGGAGCTTCTGCAAGATGGTTGTGCCGTTTCGCCGCTCGGAGTGGCAGATGATACGCGTGACCGCGAGGCCCCTGCCGCCTGCCAGTGTAGCCCTGTGCCCCCAGCCTGGCACATTCCTTCTCGCTCTCACCTGTAGCCCTTGCCCCCGATTCCCTCGTTCCCGTCCTTTTCCGCCTCCCCGCTCGATAATGACATTCACGATTCAGTCGCCGATGATGGCGCACGCTCCTCACTTCCAGGTGCAGCGAGAAGCGCCGCAGCATATACATCAACAGCAGATGGGAAGTACTTCGTGTTGCAGTGC